CCTGCTGAAGTGTCTGGGGTTTTGGGGGCTGCAGAGCACCTCCCTGCAGTGACCAGCCCCTCGCCAGCACCGCACATCAGAGGCAGAGGGGCCAGCGTACAACTCAGCCTCCATCTCCTCTTGTATTCAGGAAGCCCCAGAAGAGATGGTGGCACTGGCAGCAGCTCAGTTTTGTTGGAGAGAAGGACATTGCCCTGATTACCCCCCTGTCACCAGGGCAGTATCTTATTTGTGCATTCTCAGTGCCACGCAGTTTAGTTTCCTATTTCTGTTCTTTTGGCATGAAATGTTCCTCGGTGGTCCCCCACCCCATGCAGCAATTCAGGAGCAGGATCTTCCACCCTGGCCTTTAAGCCATGACCGTACCACATCCCTTCTGTCCCCTCTGGGTGGGATGGAGCTAGGTCTAAGCCCTCTTTCTACAAGGATCATCCACATGAGCCATTGCAAAAAGCGCCAGAAACCACACGTGTCCCATGAGGCTGTTGTGTGTCCTCCGCCTGCCCCGGGGGCCGGGGTGGACAGGACTCATGTCACCTTTGAGGTTTGCCAGCAGCTCCACCAGGTGCTGGGCCTCCTGCTGCACCCGCTGCGACATGGAGCTTTTCCCCATCCCGAAGTCCCGCAGGGTGCTGAGCGTGAACCTCCGCAGCTCCCGCCACTTCTTCTCGTTGTTGGAGACAATACCTGGAGGGAGGCAGTGGAGACCATTCACCTGCCCGCCCCACCACTCCTCCCCGGGAACGGGGGACCCTGCTCTGAGCCCAGCTGAGGAGCAAAAGGGCAATAAGCCAGGGAATGACCCAGGTGTGTGCACAGTGTCCTTGAAAGGCTGAGGATCTCTACGGAAACTCAGAAAAAAGCTGGAACTGGCTAACTGGAATTAATGTCCTCGGACAAGAGGCTTAATAGTTGGAGGGACTTGCAGAGTGGGAAATGGGTTTTTGAGGTCTTGGGTGTTGAGTCCTTCACTAGACATGAGCATGGCCAGCTGCAGTTGGGGACTTTCTGCTCACCCAGAGAGCAATAAAGTGCCTAGAAGAAATCCAGATGCCTACCGTAGTCTTTCGATAGCTTCATCAGAAGGGGTATTTCAGGTCTTCCTCCAAACTCCTCAGAGTGGCCCCGCAGAGCATCCTTCACCACCTCATACCCACAGAGCACCACCACTGGCTTCAGCCCCAGCCAGACAGTGAAGATGGGGCCGTACGTGCTGCTCAGCTGGGGGAGGACAGGAAAGCTGCCGTGAATGAGGGTCCCGCACCCCAGTCATTGGTTTAATTTTAAAGTAGGTCTCGTGGCCACAGCGGTGGCGAATGCACGAGCAGGGAGGGGAGGTGCCTCCCTCGGAGCTGGCATCCTCGCCCCGCTCCCGCCCCAGCCCTGTCCCCGGCGGGGTTCTGATCCCGCTGCTACTTTGGGGCTTCAAAGCACCATCTCCAGGAAGCAGCTCTGGATGGTGGCAGTGCCGCAGCCCAGAGAGGGATTCGTGTCAGCACCGGGGGTGCCTCACAGGAGGAGAAAGACTTCAGTAACAGTATTGATTATGCTCCCAGTAGCAGGGATTTAGGCAATTCTGGCGGAGCAAGACAAGAGGGAGGGAAAAAGAGAAAAGAAAGGTAGACAAAGAGAAAAGAAAGGTAGACAAAGAGAACAGAAAGGTGGGAAAAGAGTCACCTGGACAATTCCCCTTTTATTTTGACATGGGACATTCCCACTGCCTCTCCTGCTGCCCTGCCGGGGCTGGGAGCGGGTCTGACACCGCCAGCTCCTCTCTTACCTTCTCGTAGGTCCTGTAGAGGGGCAGGACGTCCTTTTGGTGCAGGTTGCCCAGAATGGGCCACGGGGTTGGTCCCGGAGGCAGCCGGCTTCTCTTCCTGTCAGTTCTCCAGACCAGGAACGACAGGATGGAGAGGAGGAGGAGGGTAACGAGCACCCCAGGCAATCCAGCATCCATCCTCGTCCCGTGCTGCCGAGCAGTGAAAAAATCAAGAAATTCCCCCTTCAAGGAGAAAATCACAACCGAGCAGTGAGCAGAGAGGAGCCGAAACCTGCTGCCTCTGCCCTTCCTTGCCCTCTATATAGGCACAGCCTTTCCATATCCCCGGGGTCGTCTCCGCTCCGCAGGCGGTCAGTGACACGGAAATGCTGGTTGCTCCCGGCCAAGCACATACCTGGCCCCGCCGTGTTGTAACACCGATCTCAAAGACCTGACACAGGGTGGTGGAAGCATTGCAAAACCCCGCAGGCGTGCCGGGGCAGATAGCGGCTCTCCCCTCCCCGCGTTGCTGAGTCAGTTTTTGCTTGGTGCTCCCTTTTGGTGGCATGTAAGGGAAGAAGATGTCACCGTCCTGGCAAAACCTTGCATGTCACCGCCAGGTCATTGCTCGTTTTGTCACTGCCTTGCTTACCAGTGCACTGACCCTGGAGGGAACGTTCTTCTAAATACAAACCGAGGGAGTCCGGGAGCGGGGCACGTGTGTCTGGTTGGGTACCTCTTGGGTTTAGGTTAGGTGACAATTTTCCATCAGACTCCTTTCTGACGGAAAATGGGTCAGTCCTGGGAAAAACAACAATTTTTTTCTAAAATATGTTGGGGTTTCACTTGGGTTTTGGAGGAACGTCAACCCAAGGTGTTGCGGTTGTTGCAGGTGTGGGGTTAACTCTTCCCTGGGCTCCTCTGATGCTTTTGAGCATCTTGCTCCGAGCACTGGCACATCTGGCTGCACACGAGCACATCTGGCACTGGCTCAGCCACCACACCTCTGCTCGAGAGCACTTGCAGCCTTTGGCCGAGCAGGCTGGTTACAAGCCAGTTCCCAGCAAAGGGTGCGATTTCTCCTGGAGGAGAGGGCTGGAGGAGAAGAGGGAGAAGGTTTGATTCCATGCTAGTCTCTGCAGGGGAAGGAGAGCCTCAGCAGAGAGCGCTGCATGGTATTCGCTGAGAGGAGCCTGAATTATAACGTTCAACCAGAGCAGAGCAAGGCGGCATCCCCCGGCATCCAGCGCAGGATGAATGGCCAGGAGCCAGGACTGCATTTGGTCAGGGCTGGTAGAAACAGCCAGGACCTCGGCACTTGCACCCCTTTTTGGCCACGTAGCGGGGTGGTTTGCAGGTGCCGGGCCAGGGGTGCTCGGTGCCGCTGGCTGGGCTCGTCCCAGCGGGGCTCTGGGGGATGCTCTCCCGTGGCCGCAGTGCGATTCCTTACATGTATGCACCAAATCTCACTCAAATCACCCAAAAGTGACTTGGCAATGAACCTCCTGCAGCCCCGCGACTGCTTTGTTTCAATATTTTGATTCCCCCCCCCACCGCCCCATGCTGCTGGGGGTTGGAGGGCACTCCTGCCTCCGCCAGCACTGCAAACGCGCTCGGCAAGAGGGGTTTTGGGGGAGATGGTGGTGGCGGCTGGATGGGCAGCCCCACAGCAATGCCAACAGCCCTGTAGCTGAGACCCACTGGGGATGGGGCCAGGAGGTTACTGTGACTCTCTTGTTTACCCCGTCCCATCCCGTCCCGTCCCTGCTTTTCCCATGGATTGCTCTAAATTCTTGGCTCGGGTGCCTGCAAGTGGGGAACTTTGCTCGGGGAGGTGATGTAGTGGCTGGGGTTTTGGCAGGGGGGTGAACAGCCTCTCGGTGACTGACACTGTTTTTTCCATGGTAGCCAAACAATACAAAGGAATCACTCAAACAACAGGAAAAGAAACAGCCGTGGGGATTCATTTGAGCTGCAAAGTTTCAATCCGATGGAAAATTCCCTCTTCTCCGGGCGAGCTCAGGCAGAGCCCATGGCCGCCTGCCTGGACACCGATAGCATTTTGGTGCGACACTTATTGCTACGGCAGGTTTTTTGAAAGACAAATGTCTCTAATGCAATAAAAAAAACATTATTAATAGAGAAAACAAACAAATCACCCTGGGCATTAGGAGTGTGTGAGTCCAGGTCACCAGACAAGCAGTTTAACAAGAAAAAACTCCCAGGGACGATGAAATTTTGTATTTGTCTTCTTGAACTGCTTGATGAAACTTTGCTTTAAGTTTCTCGTCATCATCTAGAGAATAAATTAAACCAAAAGACCTGCAATGTAGTGTCCCTATAGTATCTCTTGTCAAGTGTGCAGAAAAAAAAAGGGAAAGGTAGAAGCTGTCGACTAAACTTTTAGCAGCTAAAGGCCGCTTTGCCTGAAAGCATCTCAAGAGGGAAGAGCACAGATGGGCTTCGGCACAGGCGCTTCTGCACTTTGGAGAGCTGGGACCTCAGGTGAGCCCAACCCACTTCATATGAACCCAGACCTGTTGGTGCTTTGTCCATCTTTCTACTGATTTTCTTATAAGGGCTTGTGGAGAGCAGGGGTCTGTAGAGAAGCAGGCTGCTGCAAGGCTTTGGGATCCCTTGAGGAGCAGTCGGTGAGACCTTTCTGCCCCAAAAACCTAAAATAGTAGGGACGGGTCAGCTAAAAACCCACGTGGAAGGATCCATGTGACATGAACAAAAAAAGGGGGAATATTTTTACTTCTAAAAAAAATGTAAAAATCCATTCGGAGATTGCCAGGGCCTTTGGATTTTAATTCAAAGTCATGTTTTGGGACAAAACTCATGCGGAAATAATGTGTAAAAGCAATTGAGGAGCAGAGCAGCCCACGCCTGCCCCACTTGGGCTGGGTGCTCCCAGGGCGCAGGGGGGACGTCTGGTCCCAGCTGTGCCCGGTCCCAGCACCGGGATGGAGCCCGGCTCCTGCCTGCCACGCTGTGGCTCTGCAAGGGGACGGGGAAAAGCATTGCTCAATTAAATAGCCATGTTGCTAAATCGGATATATCAGAGGGGTAGATTCAAAGAATTAGAAGAAATGATGCTTGTGGAGTATTTTTCGGTGTAGACGTGTACTTGGAAAAGCTGCAAGGCAAACACGGCAGCACAGAAGGGAAAGATGAAACCAGTTAAAAAAAAGAAGTCAATAAACTGTCTGGGTTATTAGATCTAGGAAGATCTGCTGGAGGAAATCGTAACGGTTGTTCCTGTCTCTCAGCTAGCGCTTCTCTGCAGTCGGTGTCAAAAAACCTTGGCAAGGATCAGGACATGTCCCACATCACGGGGAGGAGGATGGGGAGCAGAGCCACGGGAGGGCTGGGAATGGGGCCTGGCTGGGGTTCGTCGCTCAGCAACACCAGGCCCCCGAGGCTGGAGGCACCTCTGGAGGTCAGGCATCTGCTCCAGCCCCTGCTCCAGCGGGGCCAGCGGGAGGAGGCTGCTCCAGGCCATGGAGCTTTGAATATCTCCAAGGGTAGAGTCTCCACAACCCCTCTGAGCAACCTCTTCCCATGTTGGACCACCAGTAAAATAGTGTTTGCTTATGTTTAAGGAGAATTTTCTAGATTTCAGTTTCTACCCATTGCCTCTTGTCCCTTGGCACCACTAAGAAGCGTCTGGCCCTGCCTTCTTTGCCCACCTCCATCAGACATTTATCCACGTGGATAAGATCTCCCTGAGCCGTCTCCTCTCGAGGGTGAACCATCCCAGATCTCTCAGCCTCTCCTCATCAGAGAGATGCTCCAGGCCCTTAGTCTTTTCTGGACTTGCTCCAGCATGTCCATGTCTCTCTTGCCCTGGGGAGCCCAACGTGGTACACAAACCCCAGATGTTTCTCGCCAGTGCTGAGCAGAGGGGCAGGATCTGCCCCTCAACCTGCTGGTGATGCTCCTGGCAGCACAGGAGGCTGGTGGCCATATTTGCTCTGAGAGCTCATTGCTGGCCCATGGTCAGCTTGGTGGCCACCAGGACCCCTGGGGGCCATCTCTGCTAAGCTGCTTACCAGCTGGGTGGCCCCAGCAGGTCCCAGTGCCCGGGGCTGCTCCTCCCCAGGGCCAGGACTTGACATGTCCCCTGGCTGAACTTCTCCAGGTCTCCCTCAGCCCATCTCTCCAGCCCATGCAGGTCCCTCTGGATGGCAGCATGACCCTCTGGAGCATCGGCCACTCCTCCCGGTTTGGTGCCATCTGCCAACGTGCTGAGGGTGCACCCTGCCCCATCATCCACATCACTAATGCAGATGTCGGACAGCATTTCTGGAGACTTCTTGTCCACAGGCTTTCAAACACAGCCTTCGGGGCAGCACCACTGGGTAGCTCTTACACCGTGAGACGTTTCAGCCTGGGCTTTCCGGAGCCCACCTTACCTCCATGCCCTCCTCCTCGCACCCTTCCCATTGAAACCATTTTTCAAGGCTGATGCCCAGATCCCATCTCGGGTATAAAGCAAAGCTATGCCCACGGGTTCCCTGACCTCGTGCTTTGCTTCAGCTCTGCTGGCTTAGAGTAAGCCCTTACACTTACACTAAGGCAATTAATATTATCCTAATGCAATTTTTCCCCCGTCAGCAGCCCAAAGCCAGGGCACTCTCGAGGTGCTCTGCTCACCCTGGGGCCTCGACCGTGCAGAACGAAGGATGCGGAAAAATAGCTGCAAACCATTTTAGTCTCTCCTCTTCTCCCATGTGCAAGCACAGGGGTGAGACAGCCCCGGCGGCCGCTCGCTGCGCAGCCCAGGCCAGCTAATGACTAAGCTGGGAGTATTTTTGGTTGCTCTTAATAATGCAGCAGTACTCGCTGCATCGGAATCTGGCCATAATTATAGGGCGAGTGCCATTTGTCATCACCGTCATCTCCTCTTGCTGGGGTGTAGCTCCACAGCAGCGTGATGCTAGAGCCCCTTTCACACTCCTGGGGGATCATTTCTGGGGTTTGCCATGAGATCTCTCAAGAAAATCCGGTTTTACAACCCAGACCTGCTCTGGTGTGTAGGAGAGGTACGGTTTGATTTGTCTCAGTAATAAAAATGTGTTTTCTTTGGTCCCAGGGCTTCCTCCAGTGTGAGGCAGGCAAAGCAGTGGAGCAGGAACCCTTTGCCCGCTTGCCATCCTCATGCTGTTACTACTCACCTGCGTGTCTCAGCTGAGGTCCTCGGCTGAGCCACCCTCCACGCTGGCTGCTCCTTGGCGATGGATGGCATCAGCGTGTTGTGGTCTTAGCTCCTGGTCAC